GTGACAAGTTTTGCTTGCTCTTTTACAGGAAGCTTGCTTTTCTTTCCTGTAACTCTAATATGTTACTGGAATCTGAGAGAGAGAGAGAGAGAGAGAGAGAGAGAGAGAGAGAGAGAGAGAGAGAGAGAGAGAGAGAGAGGGAGGGAGGGAGGGAGGAAGAAAGAGAGAGAGAGAGAGAGAGAGAGAGAGAGAGAGAGAGACACTTCACACTAGTTGGGATTAGAAGGTTCTTCCCGAGAGCTTGGGAACAGGGAACATGGGGAAATCCTAGGAGTCCAGTGGACAGGAAAGGTCAGTGAATGAGTGCGACCTAGAGTTAGGTAGGAGAAAGGAATTCTGGCCTGCTGCTACACAGTAAGGAGTATTGTGTGTAATCTGGTTTGTTTTTAATCTAGTAAAAAAAGAATTCGAGATGTTTTAATCGTAAAGAAATGGCTAAGGAAATATATGTTTCCCTAATTTGTATATTGTGTGATGTATGTACATATGGGAACATTGCATGGTCCTCCTCAATGTACTGCTTAACACTTCTTAGGCACTGGTAAGATGTCTCACTGGGTAAAAGCACTGCTGCCAAGAGTGACCACATGAGTTCACTCCCAGAACCTACCCAGTAAACGGAGGAAACAGACCCCACAAGCTGTGCTCTGACATCCACACTTGTGCACACACTCTCCTATGTCCCACACACACACACACACACACACACACACACACACACACACACACACACAAATAAGTGAAAAATAAAAAAGGGCAAAAATGTTGAGGATATAGCTCAGTGGTACAGTGCTTGCCTAGCATACTAGGAGGATCTGTGTTCAATCCAGCACTATTTAGATATAGAGAAAAACACGGACAAAACAACAAAACACACTACACTCTTTAAATATAGGTAGGGGTAGAGATAGCTCAGCTCTTTTCTTCTTCGGTATTATTATTATTATTATTTGTTGTTGTTGCTGCTGTTGTTCCATTGTAGGTCTCTGGGCTATCCTGCCTCTGGGTCCTGGCTCTCAGGAGTGAGCTCCCTGTCATAGTATGGGTCTCAAGCTAGGCCAGTCATTGGTTGGTCACTCCCATTATGTCTGTACCATCTTTACCCTAGCCACATTTTGGAGGTAGGACAAATTGTAGGTCAGTAGGTTTGTGGCTGGTTTGGTGTCCCAACCCCTCTACTGGAAGCCTTGCCTAGTTACAGGAGGTTCTGAATCCCCTATTGCTAGGAGTTTTAACTGGGGTCATCTTCATAGATTACTGGGAGTTTCCATTGCACTAGGTGATGGTTCAGCTCTTAAGAGCAAACAGTGCTCTTGGCAGAGGGCTGAGGTTCAGTTCCCAGGACCAATGTCAGGTAAAGGATTGGTACCCTCCCCTGGCCTCCGCAGGCACCTGCACTCATATGCATGTACACGCAAGTGCATAATAAATTAAGAATAAAAATCCTAAAACAGAATTATAGTCCCGGAAGAAGTAAGAGAGACAGAAACAGAGGAAAACTAGCATAGAACAGGAAAAGACTGAGCCATGGGTAGGATTTAGATAAGGTTAGGATGAGATCCTCAAAGATCAGAGCATAAGCATAACCAGCTAGCAGGGACAGCAGCGCATGTCACCAGGCAGATGGACTCCCACACCCCTGGCTTGGAGAAACACGGGCTTCCTAACCAAGGTCCCTGAGTTCTAGGACTCAGTGTCTTCACATTTAACTGAAGATTGCGTTGTTACTCCCTGCTTCTCCCTCACGTAGATGCCAAGTCTCACTCAACTCAATTTCCTACCATGAGGTGGCTGAGGGTTTTGTTTAGGGAACTAGGGCTTTGATAAATTTGTGAGAAATAACTAGAAATGGATGTGTTGGGCTATTCTAAAGGGTGAAATTAGTTGCCAAGAGGCTGGGTGCAAAGGAGTCCCGAGATGCTACAAAAATTAAACCAAGGACTCGGTCTGAAGGGAAGACATGCAGTATTCAACTACACAACAGGATTCAACCGCTCTAGAAAATGCCAGTAGGAGGAAGCTGTCAGGGTTAGGCATAACTACACCACCATCAATCATATAGGAAGTAGAACTCACACGCTCTTTCCTTATGTCCCAACCCAAGGGCTCTGCACAGACATCAACATTTGCACCCTCAAGAACCTATAGAACAAGCTGGGTGTTGCGGGTGCACGCCTTTAATCCCAGCACTTGGGGGGCAGAGGCAGACGGATCTCTGTGAGTTCGAGACCAGCCTGGTCTACAAGAGCAAGTTCCAGGACAGCCTCCAAAGCCACAGAGAAACCCTGTCTCGGGGGAAAACAAACAAACAAAAGAACCCATGGAAGATACTTGCTGTCATGATTAGCAAGATTTTCATTTTATTTCCACCAGGAAGCAACATGAACAAATGGTTAAAGGAACTTGGCAGACAGGGAGAGGACACATGTACCTCAAGAAAGAGAAAAGGGAAGTAGGTAACACAGATGGGGTCCCAGGCCGACACCAGGCCGACCTTCTCCAGGGCCTAAACACCAGCACTGCAGCCTCTAAGTGTGACCACTACTGACACAGCCACGTCTGTGAACACCCAAACACAAGCATGGAGTAGGTGTCACTAAACAAATAACTGTGTGAGTGGTTATTCTATGACAATATGTTATTTCCCTAGGGAATTCTCTCTCTCTCTCTCTCTCTCTCTCTCTCTCTCTCTCTCTCTCTCTGTGTGTGTGTGTGTGCGTGTGTGCGTGCGCGCACGCCCTTAGGTACTCCTTTTGTGTTGCTGGAAATCAAACCCAGGACTTCCAATGTTGGGCAAACTGTGGAAATGATTTTTTTTTATTATGTCCAGTTTTAGAATTCGAATCCAATTGAGCTGGGCATGGTAACACCCTCAGGAGGCTGAGACAGGAGGAACATCAAAAGCCTGAGGGCAGTCTAGATTACACAGGATGGTCTAAACCAACCGGGGCTACAGAATAGGTCCCTTCTCAAACAACAACAATAAAAATTAATCCAAACTTATGGAGAAGTCAGCCTGCAGGGACGGTTAAAAGTCTAAGACCCCAGAGGTTACTGTTATTCCAAGACAAAGAACATTCCAGGCCACGATTGGGCCCTTTTCTGGAAAGTTAGGATGGCTCTCCTGCCTTTGCAATTACTACATAGCCACGTGCTTCTCCTGAACACGCGCGCTCTAACCACACACAGCTCCCCTCATAAACGTTTAAAAGGTTCCTTTCGATCTAATTTTTCAAGTGCTGGATGTGGTGGTGCACACCTGCCGGCCGTCTCAGTATTTGGGAGCTGGAGGGAGGAGTCTCCAGAGTTCAGTTAGCTGCATTCTGAGTGTGAAGACAGTCCAGGCCACGTGCTACCCTGTCTCAAAACAACAGATGAGAGAATTAAACAGATGAATGAGCGAACAAACCCTTTGGGTTGTTTTTTTCCAATAGTTGCCACAACCCAAATAGTCCTTTCAAAGCATCAAGAGCACCGAGCCTCCTCCTAGACCCAGTGAGTTCAACACTAACACGGCCCTTCCCTCCTTTGGCTTTCAGCCCGAGACAGTGACGGAGCTGAGGAGGATGTAGCTCTCACTGCACATGGTACTCCCATTCAGCTGCAGGTAAACGTGCTCCTCACCCATCTAGGAAGACACGGCAAACACTCTTTCCTGGAGTCCTCAGGCTCTGCCCAATGATGTACTGACCCTAGGGAAGGCAAGCCAGACCCAAGTCACAGCAGATGGCACAGGCGAGGCCCTCAGTGTAAACCCCGTGAGTCTCCCTCCACACCACCCCCTCAGGGTATCTTTCCCAGGGAGGACCACGTCACGTATCAAGATCTGAGTGATGCTGAGGGGGCTGGCTAAGCTTCGCGCCAGTGGCAATGGAAGGCTGTGAATATGCTTGAGTGTTCAGTCGGGTTTTAGTATCAGCTGTCTAAATCTCTCAACTTCCCCTGATAGCCCAGGCCATCCTGAGAACAGCGCTGGGTCTCATTACCATCTGGAAGCCCAGATGGATGAACCAATTTTAATCCTTTCAGGCAAAAACAGAGGGAGCTCTACTGAGTCGATTGGACATCACACGTCATGCTTGCAACACGATGAGCCGTGGTGGCTCACGGACAGATCCGGAAAGCCCAAAATACCACACTGGGGGAAATCCCCTTGCTTTGTGGGGACCACAAGCAACTGAAATCCAAGAGTAAAAGTCACTCTCCATCACTTGTCCACTGAAGTTTATGAGGCAACTGGTTAAACTCAGCTGTCCTATCTGTAACTGAGAATTTGTGCTCCCTGAATGGCACTTAGACCAGGACATAGTCACATGTCATTTGCCCTAATTAACCTTGGCAGAGGAAGGTGGTGATGAGGAGCTTTTGCCCAATGAGAAATGTTTTTAATCCATTCCTGTAGAGTTTCTTGGATGCTTTTTCATATTCCAGGAATCAGTTATTCCATGGCCTTGACAAAAAAAATCTTATCAATGTCCAACAGTAGAACCTGATATAAATAGATTTGTGTGACGGTTAGTTCCAGTGTCAACTTTACACAGCCTAGAATCACCTAGAAAAAAGAGCCCCAAGGAGGGACTGTCTACCTTAACTTGGCCTATGTTCATATCTGTAGATGACTGTCTTAATTACTTCACATAGTAAGGGAAGATCCAGCCCACTATGGGCAGAACCACTCCCTAAGCAGAGGATCCCAGACCATATAAGAGGAGAAACAGAACTGAGAACAAGTTAGCAGGCAAAGTGAGCATGCATCCGTTTCTCTCTGCCTCTGGCTGTGGGTGTGATGTGACTAGTTGGTTTTGAGTTCCCACCACCGTGACTCCAATCTGGAATAGGCTAAAATAAACCCTTTCTGAGGGCATTTTGTCACAACAACAGGAATAAAACTAGAACAATTTGGAAGGTTTTCTTTTTTTTTAACTAACAAAGATACTAAATGATAGCAAAATGATACTATTTGGCCAGGAAAGTTGCTAATGGCATCCATTCCTTTGCAGACTGCTGATCCCAGCCAGGAGTATCTCATCCCACAAGCTACACTAAGCCCACAGCAAGATGCAGGGTTATAGAGCTCCCAGAAACAGAAGGAGGACAATCTGGAAGGATGCACCCTGCTCCACACAACCCTAGCAGACCCAGGAGAACTCACAGGACACGCTGTCCATGCGGCCTCCGCCCTGTCCTTCCTCTCTGTTCCCCTGCCACTCTTCTGGGCCCGTCCCCTGAAGACCTCCCTGCCCTGCACAATTACAGTCTTGTTGTCACCCTACTTTCCTGTGTCTTCTGCATTTATTTAGCTACTATTTTGTCTTTCTTGGCGATGCTTGGAAGGATTGGTGTCTCTTACTAATGAGGCTGAAATAAACAGTGAAGAAATGGGGGTCATTCTAATGTGACAAAGTACAGAGACTTCAGCAACTTGGAAGGGGACCGTGCCTCTGGTTGTTTTTCAACTGCACTAAGAACCTCACCTAGGAAACGCTACCGTCTTAACGGTGCTTAGCAGTTCGGTTCGAGCCCAGCACAGTGGTACGTGCCTAGGATCACAGCACAAGTTATCTGTAGATTGTGTGGTAAGTAGTTTAAACTCAGCCTTGGCAAAATCTGCAGTCAGCTGGGAGGATTAAGATCCTGTCTCAAGAACACTAACGAAACTGCTGAGTTCAGTTCTATTAACTCCATTCACATGACTGTATTGGAAAGGTTCCCAGAACTTTTCCATTTAGAAAACCTGAGATTTCACACTCAAAGAGTAACAGATCCCTGCCCCTCCCCCACCTCTGGCTGTAGCCATTCTACCGTCTGTGAGTGTGATGACTTTTGATGCTTCCTGTACAGAATCGCACTCCCCACTGTGTCTGTCCCTTTGTGCCTGCCTTATTTCCCTTAGCAGAAGACCGTCAGTGTCCACCCATGTATCTGGGGGCTCTTTGGGGATAGTTTATTAATTTCATTTACGTGTATATATATACACAAGTCTGCTTGTCTGTAAGTGAAACACCGTAGTTCAGTGCCTGTGGAGGCCAGAAGATGTCAGATCCCCCAGACCAGGACTTACAGGCAGTTGGGAACCACCTGATGTACCGAGAGCTGAACCCTGGTCCCCTGCAAGAGCAGTAAGTGCTCTTAACTGAGTCTCTCCAGCACCACCCCTCGCCATGTTGTATATATTTGCAACAGGATTTCTGTTTTGTTTCTTGAGGTTTGTTTGCTTGTTTTGCTTTTGTGTGTGTGTGTATTCAAGGATGAGCACAAGCGCTCCTGTGTGTGTGTGTGTGTGTGTGTGTGTGTGTGTGTGCGCGCGCGCGTGCGTGCAAGCATGCTCGCACACACATATGGCATATTCCTGCCAGGTCGTGCACACAGAGGCCAAAGGGCAACCTCAGGTGTCAGTGGTTGCGTCCACTTTATTTGAGACAAAGTCTCTTTTGCTGTTTGCTGCTGTGTAGACAAACTACCTGATCCGCAAGCTCTTTACGGCTCTTCCGGATCAGCCACCTCTCTCCCAGTAGAATCACTGGGTTACAGACGCAAGTGCTACTGTGTCCCGTGTTTACGTGGGTTCTGGGCATGTGAACTCACATCCTCATGCTAACCCACAAACGCTTTACCCCCTGAGTCATCTCCCCAGCCTTATCCATTTGTGAGCGCCAGGGACTTGTGATGGAGCCCAGGATAACACCAACATCGCGATGACCTTCCTTTCTCCGGTGCCAGAGGATCTGCTTCTGTCTGGAAGGTACCTAGCATTGCTTTGTACACCTCTGCCCCATTTTCTATGCACAGGGCTATCTTAAATCCTGCTCTCCTTTCTTTCTGATATATCGCCAAAGGTGAGAGATATATCTGGACCATATGAGAATTCCATTCTTCAGTTTTACATTATTAAATTTTAATGTATTTATTTTGGGAGGTCCATGTCATGACATGCTCTTGGGAGTCAGCAAAAAACTTGTGGGCGACAGTTTTCTCTTTCCTGCATGTGAAGTCCTGGGGATCAAACTCGGGTCATGGGGCTTGGTAGCAGGACCCCCCTTACCCACTGAGCCATCTTATTGGCCCCATTCTGAATATTTTAAGAGACATTCTATGGTTCTCTAGTTTTGCCTACACCATTTTATGTCTGTCAGAAATGGAGAGAGAGAGAGAGAGAGAGAGAGAGAGAGAGAGAGAGAGAGAGAGAGAGAGAGAGAATATCTCTCTCAATATTTCTACCTCCTGGACAACACTTACTCTTTCCTAGGTGGTTTTGTTTTTATAATGACATCCTAGTGGGTGGAAAACATCTAGTCACTTTTCATAAAGAAACCTTTAAAAATTGTGGAGAAGTACTGAGTACTGAGGATGTGGCTCAGTGGTAGAGTGCTTGCCTGGAATGTATGAGGCCCTGGGTTCAATTCCCAGCACCACATACAAAACTATGTTTGTGCAGGCAGTGGGGGCTCATGCCTTTAATCCCAGGTACTTGGATCTCTGTAAGTTTGAGGCCAGCCTGGTCTACAGTGCGAGTTCCAGGACAGTCAGGGGGGACCTGTCTCAAAAAAGAAAGAGGAAAGGAAGGGAGGGAGGGAGGAAGGAAGGAAGGAAGGAAGGAAGAAAGGAAGGAAGAGAGGGGAAGGAAGGGAGGGAGGAAGGAAGGAAGGGAGAGAGGGAGGAAGGCTGGGAGGGAGAGAGAGAGGGAGTCCAAATGCTGATAGACCTAGAATCTTCTCTAAAATGTTAGCAGAGTCCTCACACCACAACACTGGCCAGCATACATACCACGGCCATACCCATGGCCGTTCCCATGGACCGGCCTGCAGGTGACCTCCCCCAGTGTCGCCACCCAGGAACAGTTACAGATAATAGAGCAGCACACAGACCTGCTTTCATGTGCCACTAACAGCTGATGCTACAAAGGGCATCAAGCAGTGACCATGAAAGGCAGTCTGCCTGCCTGGGTGTCTTTGATGAGCTGGTGCCTCTTGCTAATTGTCTTGCTTTTGTGACTAACACCACATCCCTCCCAGTGGCTTCATCTGTCCCAGATTTCTTATAGGCAGCAGGCACAACAGGACCAAAACCAGAGACCTGCATCCAAGATGCCTGGGGGTTGAATACAGTCCCTTACCTTGCAGAAGAAAAAGCAGAACTTCAAAGACATGGGCTGACCTCTCAGTAGTCACAGGTGGCGGCCAGCTTTCCTGACTGCTAGGCCAGTCCATCCCCTCCGCGAGGCCTCCCTGCATCTCTTTTTCTGTATTAGCAACTTGGGTGTGTCTCCCTGAGAGCCAAGTGACATACTTCAGACCAGTGAGTGCTGAGTGTCTGTGTGATGGCACTGTGTGTGTGTGTGTATGTGTGTGTGTGTATGTGTGTGTATGTGTGTGTGTATGTATGTGTGTGTGTATGTGTGTATATGTGTGTGTATGTGTGTGTATGTATGTGTGTGTATGTGTATGTGTGTGTATGTGTGTGTATGTGTATGTGTGTGTACGTGTGTGTATGTGTGTGTGTATGTGTGTGTATGTGTGTGTATGTGTGTGTATGTGTGTATGTGTATGTGTGTGTATGTGTGTGTATGTGTGTGTATGTGTGTATGTGTATGTGTGTATGTGTATGTGTATGTGTGTGTATGTGTGTGTATGTGTATGTGTATGTGTGTGTATGTGTGTGTATGTGTGTATGTGTGTGTATGTGTGTGTATGTGTGTGTATGTGTGTATGTGTGTATGTGTATGTGTGTGTACGTGTGTGTATGTGTGTGTGTATGTGTGTGTGTATGTGTGTGTATGTGTGTGTGTATGTGTGTGTATGTGTGTGTATGTGTATGTGTGTGTATGTGTGTGTATGTGTGTGTATGTGTGTATGTGTATGTGTGTATGTGTATGTGTATGTGTGTGTATGTGTGTGTATGTGTGTATGTGTGTGTATGTGTGTGTATGTGTGTATGTGTGTGTATGTGTGTGTATGTGTGTATGTGTGTATGTGTGTGTATGTGTGTGTATGTGTGTATGTGTGTGTATGTATGTGTGTGTGTATGTGTGTGTGTATGTGTGTGTGTATGTGTGTGTATGTGTATGTGTGTGTGTATGTGTATGTGTATGTATGTGTGTGTGTATGTGTGTGTGTGTGTGTGTGTGTGGTGTGACAGAAAGCCCCTCTAATGACCAACATACAACACAGGTTGCTCCCTATCAACAAACAACCTGAGCAACTTCAAGAACTAGAAATAGTTCTAGGACTCAGACCCAGACATGGCAGACACCATTGATCAAGCATGGCTTGTGTTCTTATGGGATAAATGACACAGTAGAGGTAACTCCAGGGACAAGGACTCTTCATTTCATATATGGAGAAAAGGACCTCACCTTGGATAATTTGACTCACTAGTATCTGAACAAATAGTGTGTGTGTGTGTGTGTGTGTGTGTGTGTGTATCTCAAACCATAGTGCACACAAGGTAGGTGGGTATATATGAGCTTGCCTGTGTGCAGGACAAGTGTAAAGGTTAGAGGACAACTTTCAGGAGTCCATTCTCTCCTTCCACAGGGATCTCTCTCTCTCTGTCTCTCTCTGTCTCTGTCTCTCTGTCTCTCTTTGTCTCTCTCTGTCTCTCTCTGTCTCTGTCTCTCTCTCTCTGTCTCTGTCTCTCTGTCTCTCTCTGTCTCTCTCTGTCTCTCTGTCTCTCTGTCTCTCTCTGTTTCTGACACAGGGAGGCAGGGTAGCTATATACCAAACCTGACAGGAGGGGACAAAACTCCTCAAGGAGACAAAGATATTTCTAGGCTAATACTCTCTTAGGAATAAGCCTTAGGGGCTGGAGAGAGGGCTCAGTGGTTAGGAGCGCCTACTGCTCTCACAGAGAGCCAGTGTCTACTTCAGCTTGAGGGGAGACCACACACCTCTGGCCCCTGTGGCACCTGTATTCACACACATAATCAAGCTAACAAAGCCTCTTCAAGTCCTTTTCTTGGAGCAGTTCAAACATCTTAAAGGCCAGCCCAATTTTCAGCTCTGCGAGTAATCCCATTTGGCACTCTTCAAAGATACGATATTTAAATTTAAGCTGTGCCTTATCTCTCAGAACCAACACGTTCAGGGGACGCCAAGGTGGCTCTCTCAGGGGTGCAGAGACGTTCACCTGCTGCAAACAAAGCAGCATCTGAGGGTGATGGGGTAGCTCTGGAGACACAGGGGCTTGCTGCCAAGCCTGACTACCTGAGTTCGATCCCCAGAACCCACATGGCAGAAGGAGAGAACCATCTCCCACTAGGTAGTCTTTGACTTC